AATTTGCTGCCAACGCAGAGAGATCCCGGACCACCCTACAGGTAACCTGGAGATGACCTCAAGTTCATTCCCTCTTCCTTGCTTGCCCCGTACATATAGACTCAAACTTCATTCATACAGTTCCTGCATTTAGAGAACCCTTTGGGTGTCCAGCTCTTTGCTAGGTTTCCTATAGGGAGACCAGGTTTCTCTCAGGAGCACAGATGAATGCAATATAAAGAGTGACTTGTTTTCCCCTCACTCCAGGAGCAGCTAAAGAAAAACAAACGTTTCCGAAGGTGCGTGCAGCTTCAGGAAGGCCGCCCTGAGTTTGAGGGCCTTCAGCTCCAGGACTTGCTCCCTCTGCCTCTGCAGCGGCTCCAGCAGTGAGTGAATGTCCCTTGACTCAACACCCCCCCTCCAAGACTGTATGACTGCTGTTCTCAGTTTTGTGGGATACCATGAGTCTATCCCAAACCCCTACCTCTTCCCTTGGCCAAACTGCTTCTCAGAGGCTTTTCCAAAACAAAACGTGAAGGCACAGGAATAGCTGGGGTCTGCAGTCTTGAGCCTGGGGCTGTGGAACTTTGTAGTACAGTGAAGGATCAGCACAAGGGCCTAAGAGGTTATATGGAAAAATTCATTGAATGAGCCTAGTGCAGAATTTGTCCCTGGGGATGAGTTAGGGCTCATAAACTGTAGCATCCTTGTTGGTTTGATTAACTTTCATCTTCCAGACTGGCTGCTGAACTACAGTCTGCTGCCAATTCTTCAGTGTGGGTTGGATATGGGCCTTGCAACTGAGGGATGTGGGGGGTGGAGGGGTTGTTCTGTATGTAAAGCAGAAGCAAAGGGAATTTTACCTGCCTCAACTTTCTTCATATCTTTACCACTGTCCAATTCCAGGTATGAGAATCTCGTTGTTGCTTTGGCTGAAAACACAGGTCCTAACAGCCCTGACTACCAACAGCTCACACGTAGGTTCTTGCTCCTCTTCATCTCAGGCAGGAGGCTGCCTGACCTGTATCCCTTTCTGGTTTGACTTCCAACGATATGTCTCCTCCTCCTGGTATGTCTCTATCTTTAACCAATATGTACAGTGTCCCTACTGCCCTGCCTGATCAGGTCCCCTGCAAACTAGCCTGTCTTTCACCACCACCAGTCACTTGAGTTGGAAGTAAGGTGGATGTTTTTCCAGGGGCTGCTCGGCTGATAAGTGACACTGCCCAGAGAGTCCATACCATTGGCCAGAAACAAAAGAATGACCAGCACCTCCAGCGTGTTCAGGCTCTACTCAGTGGACGCTGGGCAAAGGGGCTTACCTCAGGTAAACTGTACTCTCTTAATCCTCCAACCTCACTTTCTTGCTCACTTCTCTTCCTCTGTTGAACAGCACATGCCCCCATTTCCTCAGCCTCCTTTCCCTTCTGTTCCCTGGAGTTGCACCAGAATAACCGCCCTTTGTCCCCTCCCTAGGTCGCTGGTTCTTACGCCAGGGCTGGCTGTTGGTGGTGCCTCCCACTGGGGAGCCTCGGCCCCGAATGTTCTTCCTCTTCTCTGATGTGCTCGTTATGGCCAAGCCTCGACCCCCATTGCACCTGCTGAAGAGTGGCACCTTTGCCTGCAGGGCCCTCTACCCCATGGCCCAGTGTCAACTCCACAAGGTCTTTGGCCACTCAGGAGGCCCTTGTGGTGGACTGCTCAGTGTAAGTGATAAGTGGGAGTCCTAGTCCTCAAATGCTTATGGACCAGCTTATTGCCTTGGCCCCTTTTCATAGAGAGGACAAAGGCTTGGGCTTACATTTAGTTCTCTTCTCATCCTTGAATTATCTCAATGGAAACAGCAAGGGCTTCATCCTGGACCTCTCTGAGTCCTGCACTAAGAGGTGGTCTCTTCCTAGCTGTCCTTCCCTCAGGAGAAGCTACTGCTTATGTCCACAGACCAGGAAGAGCTATCACGTTGGTACCACAGTCTGACTTTGGCTATCAGGTAAGTTATGTCTTCCCTCAGGCAGACTGCTGTAATGAAGTCCATGAGCTGGAGCTAAGGTCTGTTTCTAGCTCATTCCTGCGTCTCTCTGGGACCCCCTCCTCAACCCCTCAGGTGATAGTGTCTGCAGAGAGCACTCCTGCTAATGCTTGAACTGTCTTCTCTCCATAGCAGCCAGAACTAGAAGAATCTTACAAATTCCAGAACTCCCCATACTCAAAGGTCAGAGCCAGGAACACAAAGGAATCTTCTTCAGCACTAAACAAAGCACAGAATCCTTTATGGTTTGATGAGGGTTATTTTGTGTTTGCTAAGCTACTCTTGGGACATTTGACCAGCTCTCAAGAACCAGGAACCCAGCTCCAACACAACTGACCCTCAGCTGAACCAGCCCCTCCAACATCCTGATGAGAGGATACAGAACTGATAAGCACATGCTGTCTGTGGCCAGTTTATCCAGTTTGCAACTTTGTAAAAGTGGCTATTTTTATGTTGTGTATATAATTTTTGGGGGTGTGTGTGTTGGGAGGGGTCAGCTTTTGAGACTGTGTCTTGTATGTAACCCAGGCTAGCCTCAAACTCCCAATCCTCCTGCCTCAGCCTTGGATTACAGGCATATGTCCAGATTTTTTTTGGTTTTTATAATTTATTTTACCACTGGATTTTAATAAATTTTTGTTGTTGTTGTTATTTTTGGAAATAAGAAGGATTTTGGGCCCTGAAGGCTGGCATGCTAGTGGTCTCAGGAATACAAGGGAAAGAACTGGAGCTCCCTCTGTCTTTTCTGTTCTCACTCTGGAAGGCACCCTCTTTTTTGTCCTAATAAGGGAAGCTTTTCAAGGAGGCCCATTTGTCCTTAGGCACCTAGTATGGGTGTGTGTATGACCAGCTTGGGGGGGGGGGCGGTGGATGGATAAAGCACACAGGAGCACCCAGTCACAAAAACAGACTTTGTTTTACTAAACCTTCAGCTGTAGTCCCTCCTTTCCTGCTGGAGCTGAGGCCCTTTGTCACAGCCTTGCCACATCTTCTCCTTAGCCCCTGCTCCACTTCCCAGGAAGTAGCTAGGTTCCAAGTTTCTGGGCTCCAGTTTATGGGTTCCTCCCAGGCCTGACTGTCACCAGCTTCCTGCTCGTCCTTTTCTTTTTGCAAGTCCTCAGGAAAGGGTGTGCTGGCTTCTGCAGGGGAAAGATCAGCATGTTCCAGTTTCAGAGTCTTTGTCTTCCTCTCACCACACTTCCCTTCCCCCTCACCAAACTCCACTCCCAGCTCTACCTGGCTCTGGAACTTCTACACCCTTATCTGGCTTGCAATCTTGCAGAAGCTGGTGGATGGTCTGTAGCTTCATGTTCAGAAGTTCCCGCTGGGCTCCAACCAGAGTAGTCACACTGCAGAAATACCCACTCAAGGTGCTGCCTAGCCTGTCTCCACTCCTCCCACCTTCCACCTTCCACAGATTCTCACCGCTCAAAAAGGGGGTCCAGCTGGGCCATCAGATTGTTTAGGTGCTGCTCTGTCTGGACCAGTTGTTGCGTCAACTGGGCCAGCTGTTGCTCTGGTGGCAAGGGAGAAAAGGCAGGTGTGCAAGGGTTATTTTCTGCTGTCTCCTGATTGCCTCACACCAAGCACAGACTTCTGCTCAACCCACCTGACTGCAATGATTTCTTCTTGCCTTTCTCCTCTTGGAGAACTGTGGCCTCGTCTTTACCCTTTTATGAGAGGAGGAAAGGGCAATCAATAGGAAGCAACAAGGTTCTGCTCGGCACCTCAATCTCCCAAAGCCAGTAAGGAGGACAGAATTTGTGCAGAGAAAACTGAGTTTTACCTCAGAGAATCTCAATCATTTCTAGTACAGCTCTGCACCCAGGACAGGAAACAACAAGTTAATACGCCCACTAGTCTGCAGAAATATCTGTAGGAGTGAACAACTCTCCAGTTTGATAAAGTTCTGGTTGTCAGAAAATATACAAGGCCAAGGTTTGTCCTTCATATGTTTCTTTCCTTAGTGCTAAATTAGAGCCATCCAAATAATGTCTGTCATTTCAACATGATAGCTCTTTAGGAATTTGAAGACAATGGTCCTATCCCTGCCTTCTTCTGGTATAAAACCTCCAGTCCTTTCTGTCAGTGTTCAATTCATATTTTCTCTGGCTGCTTTAGTATACGTGTAGCCCACTTAAAGCAGAGTCCTGAGGAGAATAAAATTCTCCATGTTTTGATCATCAGATAACACACAACACCTGATTTGGGAAACGAACCATCACATCACACAATGAATTTAGTAGTCAATTCAAGTATCTGTCTTCTTCAAGGTACTACTGCTATGTTTCCCCCTATTTGGGTCCAAGTTCAAGGGAGGAATACAGTTTGTTAATCTATCCTTGTTAAATTTCATCATTAAATTTAGACCCTCATCCTAGCCTGCCAAGTCTACTTGGGATCATTATTAGCTATCCCTTCTAGTATATCTCGAAATTGGTTCAGCCCTGTTTCCTAATGCATGTAAGTGATAGGATCAGGGCTGAAGGAGCCCTGGATGGTACAACTTTCAACAGTTTTGATCCATCAGAATGTGCTGTCAGTCCACATTTCAGGGCCTCCTTCCTAGGAGAACCTGAAGCTGCTTAGTGCCTTTAACTCTAGACACACTGGCTGCAGTATTCATCTGCTCGTGCTAAGGTTGGAACCTCACCAGAAACCGCACTTGTTTGATAAAGGCACTAGCTGGGTTCAAATCCCAACTGCCACCAGTTACTAAATTGGTGACTTGGAGCAAGTGATCGCTCTTCACTGGGATTGGGGGAGGATGTAATGTGACGGTTATGATTTGCAATTTAACAGACGCCCTTCACATCCATTACCTCGAAACCCCATAATGTGGGTAAGTCAAGGAACTACTGTCTTCATTTTACAGGCGAACGGGAAGCGGTGTCTTGTTCTTGGTACCATAGCGCCCCCGTGGGAGATTCAAGCCCAGGGCTCCCCCACCCACGGCCGTCCCGCACCTGCAAACACTTGTACAGCACAAAAGCCACGGCGGCCGCGGTGTACAGCGCCCCCATAGGCAGAGCCCCGACCCGGGCCCGCTCGCGCTGGTCCTTGGACGGCGGCCGCCTCCGGGGTTCGGTGGCCCCTTTGCCGACCCGGGCGCGGTGCCCTGTAGAAGGAGGGCAGAGACCGGTTCAGAACGTGGGTGTCTCCCAGGCAGTCCCAGCCTCCCTCCAGCAGCCCTCGCTGGTACCTGGGGGTGCCCCGAGGTCGGGGCTGGGACGCTCTCCGAAGACCCCAAGAAGCGCAGACACAAGCAGCAGCCCCAGCACATGCGAGACTGAGACCCCGCCCGCCATTGCTGGCCCACAGACAGAGGGCCCGCGCAGCGACCAGCCCTGCCAGCCTTGCCTCCCGCCCCAGTGCGCAAGCGCGCACGCCACCCCAGCTGATCTCGCAGCAGGCCTCTTAGGAGGCCACGCCTACTCGTATGGGACTGTCCTGGAGGCCACGCCCACTCAAGTGGGCGGGTTGTGTCATATTTGCATAAGGTCGTGTCCATCTGGACTTCCTAAATAGTTCATTTCTCATCTATTCAGATATTCTATTAGGCAGGATGTCTCCAAACGCTTGTATTCTAAAAAATTCTGCATTAAAAAGTGGATTGTTTTTCGCGCTCACATTACCAACTCCTCGCCCTAAGCAAAAGACAACGCATCTTCTAGCCCTATAAAATGGTTACGCGCGCAGCTGCTTAACGGACAGTTCGCGCTGAAGGCCTGTTTCCTAGGCTACAGACGGAGGACGTGTTCCTTACCTTTCCGCCTAGGGGAAAGTCCCCGGACCACGGGCAGAGAGTGCCGCGTGCGTACGCACGTAGACCTACCCCACCTCTCACTGGTTAGCCCGCCAAGAAGCGACCCCACCGGCGGTGGGGGAGCCGAGCGGCGTGTGGCGGGGCGTCATCCGTCAGTCACTCTAGTTACGCAGGCAGTGCCTCTCCGAGCGCACCAACCACACGGGGCTCATTCTCAGCGCGGCTGGCTTTTGCACTTGGCTTCCTAATTCCTCTAGTGCAAATTCCTCATCAAATGTAGCATGATACACAAAATATGAATTCTAGTATTCTCCCTTCTTAACTCAAAAGCGGGTGAATTAGAGAAGTTATTTAATCTCTCTCCATGCCTCAATTTCCACCCTGAGAAATGGACATAATCACACGCAGGCACCTCAAGGGCTGTTGGGATGATTAAATGGAACGATCAAGTAAACAGTGCCTGTATTTTTAGTCTTTTAAAGACTGAACTAGGGATGGGGGTTTAGCTCAGGGGTAGACGTGCAAGCCTAGCATGTGCAAAAGACAAACAAAAAAGCTCTGAGCCAGAAAGCTTCAGTAAACTATTAATCAGGTAAAAGGCAAGGCAAAGATTATAACCCTTTTCTGATTGTCTCAGATTCCCTCTGCCTCACCATCTATCTCCCTGCTTGCCTTCCAGGACTTCGCCAGGGAGAGAACTGTTTTGTTTTGTTTTGGCAGTACTGGGATTTGAACTCAGAGCCTCACACTTGCTAGGCAGGTGCTGTGTTGCTCCAGCCACTCTGCCAGTCCTTTTTTGTGTTGGGTATTTTTGAGATAGGGTCTCTCGAACTACTTGCCAGGGGCTGGCTTGGAACCACATGCTTTTGATCTCTGCCTCCTGAATAGCTAGGATTACAGGTGTGAGCCACCAGCACCTAGTTCCACTTTGTCTTTTAATTGTCTGATATACACAGGGCCATCTTCCCAACCAGACCAAAGGCTTTCTGAGGAAAGGAACGTTCCATTTGCATTTCTGTCTGTAGAGCTTGGCAAAACAGCAGGCAATGGTTATATGTGTGTTGAGTGAAATATGGGAGTATGTTCTTGTTTTTCCAGAAAGGGAGAGGGAAGGTAGAACAGAGAGAGACCCACACCAAGGGGAATGTCAGATTATCCCAAGGCAGCCTAGGTAGGAGAGCAGGACAGTCTAACCTTAACCCAGTTGGCATAGTCAACATAAATAAGGGGTTCAGGCCAGATATAACAGAATAAATGGCTCCCAGCTGATAGCTGCCTTTAGGAAATGAGGACCCTATTGCCTGATCTGAGTTTTTCAAAAGAATCAACCAATCATGATTTTTCAGATTGGAAATGTCTCAATTTTTAGGTGTTGGTAAGGAATCGGTGGTATCTTTAGTATATTTGACACCCAAGTGTATCATTTTTTTAAGTTCTTCTCTATGACAAAATTATTTTTCCATAGTAATCATGAAATGAAACAAATAATAGGGATCAGAAAAAAAACTCAGTGAATATATTTTTTATTACAGAACTCTGTAGATATAAATAAATAAATGATGTCAGCATAAATATGTAGTTAACAATTTTAAGTTAAATAAACATTATAGAACAAGAAAGGAAATAGTAAGGGTTAATATTTCTTAATTACTTTATTGCCTTTTTGGGGAGAAGGGGCAAAAACCTTACACTTACATATTGATATGTCTGGTGAAGCAGTATTATTTCCTTTTTTTTCTGCAAGAAATAGGAATTGAGATTTATTTTAGGCAAATTTTATAATTAGAAAGAAAAAAATGACATGAAACTTATTAAATAAATGTAAATGTGAATAAACATTAAAATAAACATATTTAGGAATTTTTTTATCTAATTCTTTTATATTTATTTATTTATTATTATTAATTTATTCACATGTGCATACATTGTTTAGGTCATTTCTTACCCCTTCCACCCCGCCCACCCTCTCACCCTCTTTTTTTATTCTTAGCTTTGGCAAAGTTGTTGTAAGTAATATTTACATATTCATACTCAACAGAAATATTGTCAGATTTGTCAATATTCACATATAATTCATTAAAGGACATTTTATTAAATTTCATTTAAAAATATTCTGTCATATGGAGCCACAGATATACAAATAACTATGAAAAGTCTTAAGCATAAGGATAAGTTTAGCAAAGAGTCACAAAGGTCCCACTTCACAATAAGTTTTGGAAAATTTAAATAAAAATGACAACTCCAATTAGTTGCTGAGTGGGATGAAAATAATCCAATTTTAATTTGTTCAGGTTTACAATCACTGTGTTACAATTTTTTTTGTTTTGTTTATGTTTTGTGCTGGGATTAAACCCAGTGCCTATACCTCCACCTCTAGTCTGTACTCCAGTCTAGATTTTTGTTTGTTTTTGGTGCTGAGAATTGAATCCAGGACCTTGAGCATGCTAAGCTCTACCACTGAGCTACACTCTCAGTCCCTCATTGTTTAGTCTTTTTTTTTTTTTGTGGTACTGGGTTTTGAACTCAGGGCCTTCACCAGGCTGGCTTTGAACTGTGATCTTCCTGATCTCTGCCTCCTGAGTAGCTAGGATTACAGGTGTAAGCCACCAGCACCCAGCTTATTCTATTCATTTATTTTTAAAATCAATTTATTTATTTATTTTAAGATGAGAATCCTCCCCCACGGCCAGGCGCTGGCCTCAGCTCCTAGACTCAAGTGATCTCTTGCATCAGTCTCCTGAGAAGCCTGAACTACAAGCACATGATCCTTGCACAGCTTACTGGGTTTTTTTTGTTATTGTGTTTTGTTTGTTTTCATTTGTTTTTTTTGAGACCGGTCTCAGTTGTAGCCCAGGTTAACGTGGAACTCTCCATGTATCTCTGCTGGCCTGGAACTTGAAATCCTCCCGCCTCAGCCTCTGTAGTGCTGGAATTATAGTCCTGCACCACCATTCCCGGCATCATTATTTATTTTTAATCTACAGGTTAAACACAGAAATGTGTAGCTAACTGTGTGGTTGGAGACAAACATTGTGCTGGATGCAAACCTGAACAATTCCAAACTGTTAAGAACAAATTCTAATATAAACCAAGGTACATGAATGGGCTTGTACCAAGGGTCTATTGTGTAACTGGGAGTTGTCTGGATTAATCTGCATGTAGATTAGAATTTTTTTAAAAAAGATAAACAACTTAAGTATGTTAATTTGAAGGCTATATATATCATTAAAATTCATCAGTGAACATAGTAGTTTACAACTAAGAGCTACAAAAGATCAGATCATGTCAGATCACTGACATTTTTTTTAGAATTGCTGCAATATGGTGATAATAAAAAGAGACTAATTTTAGTTGATTTTATTCTATTTATTTAATTTATTTATTTTGTGGTACTGGGGCTTGAACTCAGGGCCTACACTTTGAGCCACTTCCCCAGCCCTTTTTTGTGAAGGGTTTTTTCGAGATAGGGTCTCCCGAACTTGCCCTGATCTCTTCCTCCTGAGAAGCTAGGATTACAGGTGTGAGCCACTGGCACCTGGCTTTATTTTATTTTTTAAACTCTCTCCTGACGGTGCAATCCCTTATTGCCTGAAACTGAAGGGTAGGACTTCTCCTGTTGTCCCCATCTTCAGCAGGCTGTTAAATTTAAATTTATATTCAGAATTTAAGACCCCTCTACGCACATCCTAGCCTCCCACAGGGTTGGGCACTCCACCCAGCAAGTGAACAAGTGTAAAGACAGGCTGGGTTTGCCAGGATAGTCCTGGGGCAGATTCTTTTAATGCAATTAACCATCTGACAGGTTCTTAGGGACAGTTTGGATGAAGTAGGTTGGGAGGGGAGAATCTAGCTTCCTCTATTCCCCACTCCGCCCCACCCTTGACAACTATAATATTAGCAATAAACAATGGCAACCATCATCTAAACTTATTTCCTCTCAGGTCAGCCTTGGGCTGTGCTGGAACTGTGGGTACCAAAGCCATCCTGCTTCTTTTTTGTGGTACTGGGGATTGAACCCAGGGTTTTGTGCATGCAAGACAAACACTTAACAACTGAGCTACATCCCCAGCCCATCCATTCCGCTTTTGATTGTGCCCACTGAGGAATACATTCTCCATGGGACTCAGAGCTGGAGAGAAAAGGTGGGCATCCTGTGGCAGAAAGGGTGCTCTTGCCTTTGCCAGTCCTGCCTCATGTCACTTCTGCCCTTCCAAAGCTTTAGGGGTTCACCTGCTCGTGGCACAGAACACTCAGGCCGGAGTCTAGGGGGCACAGTCCATGGGGCCTAGGCAGAGCTCCAGAGCTACAGGGTGGCGCAGGTGCAGGCACAGGGCGGGGTCTTTGTTCTTCTGCTAATCTCTCCCCTCCCCCTTCCTCCCCGGAAACCAACAACTTTGCCACCAACAGTGTTGGGGATGCTGAGCTGTGGGGGCCAGCCCCAGGAGGGATGGGAGTAAGGGGAGCTGTGGCAGCTGTCAGACCATGAACAGAGCTGGCCCTCAGCTCAGGGCAGTGTGCTTACGGATCCAGCCCTCACATCAGCAGTCATGAGCAGAGGTGACAACTACACAAATGGTCTTGATCTACTAGTGCCGGGTGAGCTGGGCGGGGCAGGGGCCTAGGGGAGGGGTCATGAGGCCCCAAGTCCCACCTGCTGGTGGTGGGAGAGGGGGTTGGGGCTAGGCTGTAACACCCCCCTTGTCCCACATCCACAGGAATCCCCAGCATAACCCAGGCCTGGGGACTGTGGACCCTCTTAGGGACTGTGATACTGCTGCTTTTCATCTCATTGGCTGCACTCTGGTCCCAGAGGACCAGTTTGCAGAGCAGGAGCCAGCCAGGGCAGGGATGGTGAGTGGGGGATAACAGGGATGGGTTGACCAAGAGTTCCTCTTAACCAACAAGTACAACTCATCCCGCACAATCTGTGTTGCAGCTCTGAAGCAGCTGTGGAAGAGGTCCCCTTGTATGGGAACCTGCACTATTTACAGACAGGTAGGAGTCATTCAGAGGAGAAGGACACAGGGGTAGGTGTCTGGAGTGGCATGGGAGGAGGAACAAGGAACTGACCAGATTCTTGTTCCCTGTCTTAGGACGGCTGACTCAAGAGCCAAGGCCAGACCAACAGGATCCATCCCCCGGAGGCCCCAAGAGGGTGAGTCAGCTGCAGGAGGAGTAAAGGGAGGGAAGAGAATGGAGGCCTTTTCCGAGGGTCCAGAGAACTAATAAGCTCACATCCCCAGGCGGCAGAGGAGGTGATGTGCTATACCAGCCTGCAACTGCGGCCTCCTCAGGGCCGCGTCTCCAGCTCTGGGACTCCCATCAAGTACTCCGAGGTGGTGGTAGACCCCGAGCCCAAACCCCAGGCAGCAGGCCCCGAACCAGAGCTCTATGCTTCAGTATGCTCCCAGACACGCAGAGCCGGTACTTCCTTCCCGGATCAGGCCTATGCCAACAGCCAGCCTGCACCCAGCTGAGAAAGAGGCCTGGCCCAGGAGGCATGCATGGCTCACCCACCGTCGAAGATGCTCCTGCTGTCCTGTCTGGAGCATGCCTGTTTCCCAACCACCACTCCCAGGACACCGAACCATTGCCTAGTCACAGGTAGTGACCTATCCCAAACTTCCTATCTGAGCTGCGGGGGAGACATCTCAGGGTATGGCAGGCCCCTGACTTTCTGAGGATAGAGGCAACAAACAAAGTCAGTTCCCCCCTCCCCACTTCTCATCTATCTGTTCCTTTCAGCTCCCAAACTCCCAGATTCTCACTTCCTCCTCCTTAAACCAGGCCCTTCCTCCTACCCTCCCTCCCAACCTACCCCCCACACCACAGTGTCTCTTCAGGCACAGGAAGTGGGCAGGGGGTAGGTAAGAGCCTGAGAGGATGTGGGTGGGTGTCATGCTTGGGAGCCCACAGTCTGGAAGGGGCCTAGGTCCTATGAATTCCAGGGACCCAAGCCTGACTACTGACCTGAGAACCATGGCAGAATGTAACTCCATGTCTCTGTCATGTCTCCCGGTTTTCAAATAAAACTTCTAAAAGAGTGTTTAGATTTTTACCTAGAGGCAGCAAACCTGCTCCTCCACCCAAGGTAGGGTGTGAACTTTGCCATCGGCATGGAACACTTCTGGGGTTGCCTAACTGGGGAAGAGGAACAAGAAGGACTGAAGAGGTGGGTGCCAGGTGTGGAAGGGTGGAGGGCTGGAGCCCAGCTCCTCAGCTGCTCTTTCTGCTGCTAGAACATTGTCAGGATTTGCACTCAGACCCACCCCCATTATTCCCCCTGGAGTCTAAAAACTCACCAATCCCTGAACTACTCTCTCTACAACCTTTATAACTGTGCCCTCCAACCTGCTGCCCTAGCCTCCCCATTAATTCTCCCATCAATCCTCCTCCATCCCTCATGAGTCCCACCTATACCTGACTTGGCATCTGTAGCCCTGCCTTCATTCTGTCATTCACACACTTCTCCTGGCCTTCTCTCCACCTCATCACTATGGCAACAGTCCACTCCATCTCCATTTCTTTCTCTCAATTGTCACCTACAGTCCTAGCAACAGTTTTGCTTATCACTACTTTCATTTTAATCCCTATCCAATCTACCCTGCCTGCCCTGCTTTATTCTTAACCCCAGCCTCCAGTAGCATGCTACATTAGGCAGGTTGGGATCAAGATTAGAACTGTGGGCTTGGGAGCAGGATCACCCGAGTTCAAATTTTACATAACACACCAGCTGTGTTTTCTTAAGCAATTGAGCCTCAGTTTCTGAATCTGTAAGACAGGAAGGATATTGATATTGTCTATTTTTTAAAGCATTTTTATTAGCATATATTAGTTGTATAGGAGGTTTCACTTTTGCATTCCATATATGCTTACAATGTGCTTGGTTAGATTTATTCCCTCTTGTTTATTTTTTTAAAGTGTAATTTAAGGAAATTAGCATCTATAAAGCATTTAGAAGACAGTGAGTGTTCAATAATGCTGGGAATTATTAAAATAATAAACATAATTAACTATTATTAAAACAATGGGCAACTCTGGAGTTGCTCATAGGCGAATGACTTAAGCAGGGACAGAAAGTAGTCCAGACGCGGCAACCACAAGGGAAAGGAGAGGCTTCTTTGGAGGAGCTGATGGAAACTCAACATGGCAGAAAGGAAAGGGGAGAATGGCAAGATGAGTTGGTACAGTAGACAGAAGCCAGATCACACCAGGCCTGTAAACAATGCAAGAGTTTGGACTTCATCCTGGAGGTGATATGGGAGTCATGGTTGACTTTTGAGTAAGAGATTAACACAATCAGATGTGGATGCTAAATTCACTAAGTGCACTGGAGGCCTACAGTACTGGAGCCAGGTCGGGCCATTCTGAAGAAGTTGCAAAAGTTAAGTGAGAGAAAATGGTGGTAGCAGCAGTGGGGATGGAGAAAGGTGATGGATTAGAAAAAATGTTTAGGTTTAAAAAGAAGGCCCTACTTGTCACACCTTCCATCTTTCTGGTTAGAACCCACTCCCAATCCCCATCACGATAATACAGCCCAGCTCCAAAAAGGTTCAGCTCCCTACCTCCATCACCCTGGTGGCAACACACTGTGTGGTCTCTGACCCCTTAGTTCTTGCACTCCACTGGCTGCCCCTCCCACCTTTCCTGTGGCCCATCTATGATCCACCCCTCACTCCAGCAAAAATATCAACCTGGTGAAATCCTTAATTTTCTATGGGGACAGGAAAAAAAATTTTTTTTGAGCCTGAGCTCTAGGCCATCTCCAACTAGGGCCCCTGTCCACCTCCACAGGACTTTCTGAGGTTTGAGGGACAGAAGAAAGGGGAAGCTGAGGTTTTCACCTCCAAGCTTCTCTCCTTCCCATTTAGAATGTCAAAGACAACCACAGAGTAGGAAACCTTGCACTTGACAAGGCCAGGTGGTCTCCATGAGAAGGGGATTCTCTCCCCGGAAATCCAAATGCCCTTGGGTCCCTCGACTTCCGAGGCCCCCAACCTAGGCCTCCCTAGGAGACCCCTAGGTAGCAATTAAGGGCAGGCAGCTGGGGCTGTGTGGGAGGGAGCGTAGTTTTGGGGGCGGACACCGGATGCCGCAAACCACCCGCAGCGGAATGTGGGGTTCTGAGGGCTGCAGTGCTTCTGAAGATGGATCAGGGTGTCCTCGACGGGAGGACGTGCGAGCTTCACCCTGGATGGGGTGGGGGATGGGATTTTTACCAACCCTCTGGAACGCGGCGGAAATCAGTATCGAGGGATTCAAGGTTTCCAACCCACGCTGCAGACTTTGATCCCTAGACCCAATCTCCCAACCTGAACCTGTGGCATAGGAGCTCCCCCGCCGGCTGAGGCGCGTCATCACCACCCCGCGCAGGCGTAATACTGCCCGGCCCGCGGCATTCTGGGAGTTGTAGTCCTACGGTTTGGAGTTGCTCCAGTGTCCAACTGCGCGGAGCCCAGGCCGCCCAGAGTTCCAGGTCAGCCGCCTGCTGGATGACGCGATTGCTCCAGAAGAGTTTCTTTAAAAGGATTTTATTCTTCATGCATGGCCGCAGCAGGGTGTGATTTGAATTTTGTTCTTTCTTCCTCCTCCTCCTCCCCCTTCTTCCTTTTTTTTTTTTTCTTGCGGTACTTGAGGCTTGAACTCGAGACACTCCACCAGTCCTTTTTGTGTGTGTGTTGGGTATTTTCTAGATGGCGGGGGGCGGGGGGGGGTTGCGTGAACTATTTACCTGGGGCTAGCTTTGAACCACCATCCTCCTGATTTCTGCCTCCTGAGTTGCTAGGATTACAAGCGTAAGCCATGCGGCTCTATCTTCTTATCATGTCTTCCTCACCAAGGTTTGTGCTTTGGCCCAAGTCCTCAGCATTGAACGCCAGGGCTCTGGCAGCTTCCTAATTGGCCCTCGAATCTAGGAACGTAAGAAACATAGCCATACCTCTCTAGCTAGTCAGCTGTCTCACCTCACCTGATATTTCTCTTCCTTTCCATAGCTCCACGTGCTTTCCTTAGTAGACTTCTTTGTCTCAGTCGGTGTATAGGCAGGATTGAAGCCAGGAGTGCCTTGTCCCAGAAATTCCCAGGGGGCAGACCTCAGGGAAGCCAATAGGACCTCCTAGATCCCCCATCTTTCCCTTTTCCTGAGATCTCATCTTTGAGAATAATAGGGTAAACTTAAGTACTGAAGAGGAAGGGTCTTTGGGACAAAGGCTCAACAAAGGAAGTTCTTAAGGAATTACTTATAGGTGGGGAGGAGCTTTGGAAGCTATTCAGCCAAGGTCTTGCTCTGCAGTTCATCCAGAAGGGTTTAAATTCCAAGATGATTTTGGCTACAAGGAGGGAAACAGCTGAGTCTGGAGAGAGAACAAGTCTTGATGACTTCATTTGAAACCTTGGATCCAACCCTGCCCGGAGCTAGCTCTGCCTTCTGAACTTTTTGGTTTTGTAAGCTAATAAATGCCGTTTTTGCTTAAGTCAAAGTTAGGTTTTCTATTTCTTGCAACCACAAGCTCTAATTCTGTGGGGAAAGGCAAGCAGACTAGGGCCAGCTGAAGATGCTAAACCACTGATATCCTTACTTATTGCTCAGTTCTTCCATGAGCCACTCTCCCCTGAACTTAAATACATGGTCATGCCATTTGGTTCCAATATATTGAAGGAAGACATCAGTCACTGGCCTAACCAACTCCATTTTGTCTCTCTGTAGCTGTTTTTTGCCTCTTCAACTTTTTCCCTCCTGAGTCACTCTCTTCTGCAGTTACTTTGGATTGCAGGAAGAACAGGACTGATAGATCTTTGTCGCAAGGGACCAAAACTCATGGGACCAACCACCCCCAAATGAGGGTCCATGGTGGTGAGGCTGCATCCCAGGGCAGAAATAATGATCTCAGGGGAACTAGACTGCTCTCCTCACATGATGATAGTGATAAGTACTCCTCCAGAAACTTTGCAGAACCAGAATTGAGATAATGATCAGTCAGACCCCTGATCTGACCAAGATTACCTACTCTGTCAGCTATGCAGACCCCAACCATCTCCTTGTTTCTGTTTTCTATAAAACCTCAAAGTTCCTGCCAACTCCTTGAAGAGGACATTGGGGTCACTTGAACTCCTTTATCAGTTCTCAAGGTAGCCACATTGATTAAATCTCCTTTCTCTGCCCTTCACCACTTTGGTCTCTGACTAGCCTGTTGGGACTCCTGCAGTCAGGGCTTTTGCTGTACAACTCCTAATAACCATATCTCAGCCTAATGTGTGGGTTAACTAGAATTCTTGCCTAACTTACCAATTTCTAGAATTATGTAGCCAGGTGGTCGCAAGATCTGATCCAAACTTAGACCCACAGTAGAAAGCAACCTATCAGTCTTCTTGAACACTTCCAGAGTTGGGAACCACTGCTTGACTAAACACTTGTTTCCAGTCTTTCTTATCGATAGAACTTCAATTTTGTTTTTTGTTTTCCAGTAATGGAGCTTGAAGTCTGGGCCTCATGTTTGCTAGGCAAGTACTCCGCCACTTGAGCTACAACCCCAGTAGAACTTCTAAAATTTGGAGCCAAATCTGCCTCTTTGTTACTTTTTACCTGGTTGCCTCCTGAGTTACAATCATAAAACCAGTCTTCTCTTTCTTGTATATGACAGCCTGGAGTAATTGAGAGCCAGCCCTTATGAATAGCCTAACCTTTTTTTTTTTTTCTTTTTGCCTTCCCACAAACAACTTTCTAAAGTTCCTTCTTCAGTTCTTTTACAGACCTTATTTGCATCATTCCCATGTTGTTTTGCCAGATCAGAGTCCCTCTTAAAGTGTGGTTCTAAGAAGTGAATAGAGTTCTGGACCCATACAGTGGGGCCCCTGTTTTTAATTGGGCAATAAATCTACAAACAAAAGGTCTCTGTTTGTAAGACTAGACTAAGTGAAGGGGTGTTTAATACAATATAATATAAGGGCACCTGTGACAGTTTGGAAACCTAATGGAATGAGAACCCTGGAACAGTGACTATGGGACACCTGCAGTGTTGGGGCCTCAGTGACAGGAGAATATGGGTCTTCCTGCTCTTATTCTTCCCACTCTCTGAGTTCAATACTTTCTCCATCTCTGCTTCTTTCCTTTACATATATCTGAATTTCTTCCCATCTTGCTAACTTGCCTCCCTATCCTTTAAGGTGTATTATTTATCTTTTTATTTTTTGGTGGGCAGTACTGGGGTTTGAACCCAGGGACTCATACTTGCTAGGCAGGTGCTCTACCACTAGAGCCACT